TGTGTTGGTTTTTATGCCAGTACCATGGTGTTTTGGTTACTATAGTTCTGTAGTATAATTTTAAGTCAGGTAACGTGATTACTGCAGTTTTATCTTTTTGCTTAGGATAGCTTTGACTATTCTGGGTCTTTGTAGCTCCCTATAAATATTAGGATTGTGTTTATTTCTGTTAAGAATGCCCTTGGTATTTTGATAGGGATTGCATTGAATCTGTAGATTGCACTTTAACAATATTAATTATTCCAATCCATGGTGCGGTGGCTAACGCCTGTAATCCCAGCACTTTGAGAGGCCAAGGCAGGCAGATCACGAGGTCAAGAGATCGAGATCATCCTGGCCAACATGGTGAAACCCTGTCTCTACTAAAAAAATACAAAAATTAGCTGGGCATGGTGACATGTGCCTGCCATCCCAGGTACTTGGGAGGCTGAGGCAGGAGAATTGCTTGAACCCGGGAGGCGGAGGTTGCAGTTAGCCAAGATTGCACCACTGCACTCCAGCCTGGCGTCTGGTGATAGAGCAAGAATCTGTCTTAAAAAAACAAAAACGAAAACAAATTATTCCAATTCATGAACACGGAATATCTTTCCATTTTTTTGGTGTCCTCTTCAATTTCTTTCATCAGTGTTTTATGATTTTCATTGTGGATGTCTTTTACTTCTTAGGTTGTTAATTCCTAGGTACTTAATTTTATTCATGGCTATTGTAAATAGGATTACTTTTTGTTTGTTTTTTGTTTGTTGGTTGGTTGGTTTTTAAGACTGAGTCTCACTCTGTTGCCCAGGGTGGAGTGCAGTGGTATGATCTCAGCTCACTGCAACCTCTGCCTGCCAGGTTCAAACAATTCTCCTGCCTCAGCCTCCTGACTAGCTGGGATTACAGGTGCCTGCCACCATGCCCAGCTAATTTTTTTATTTTTAGTAAAGAAGGGGTTTCACCATGTTGGCCAGGCTGGTCTCAAACTCCTGACCTCAGATGTTCTGCCCGCCTCAACCTCCCTAAGTGCCCAGTGAGCCACCATGCCTGGCCTGTAAATAGGATTACTTTTCTATTTTTCAGATTGTTCACTGTTGGCATATAGAAATGCTACTGATTTTTGGGAATAGGCTGGGCGCGGTGGCTCACACCTGTAATCCCAGCACTTTGGAAGGCCGAGGGGGGTGGATCACCTGAGGTGAGGAGTTTGAGACCAGCCTGGCCAACATGGAGAAACCCAATCTCAAAAAAAAAAAAAAAAAAAAAAAAAAATGCTACTGATTTTTGTATGTTGAATCTTGTATTCTGTAACTTTACTGAATTTGTTTTATCAGTTCTAATAGTTTTTTGGTAGAGTCTTTAGGTTTTTCTGAATAGAAGATTATATTATCTTCGAACAAAGATAATTTGACTTATCCTTTTCAATTTGTATGCCCTTTATTTGTTTCCCTTCTTCTGATTCCTCTAGCTAGGACTTCCAGTATTATGTTGAATAACAATGGTGAAAGTGGGTATCCTGTTGTGGTCCAGAACTTAGAGGAAAGGCTTTCAGGTTTTCCCCATTTGATATAATACTAGTTGTAGGTCTGTCATATATGGCTTTTATTATGTTGAAGTGTATTCCTTATATACTGAGTTTTTTTAGGGTTTTTAACATGAAGGAATGTTGAATTTTATCAAATGCTTTTTCAGGATTAATTGAGATGGTCAAATAGTTTTTATCCTTCATTCTGTTGATATGATGTATCACATTGATTGATTTGCATATGTTGAACCATCCTTGCATCCCAGTGATAAATTCAACATGGTCATGATGAACGATCTTTTCAATGTATTGTTAAATTTCATTTACTAGTATTTTGCTGAGGACTTTCGTGTCAATATTCATCAGAGATATTGGCCCGCAGTTTTTTTTTAATGTGTGTTTGTCTGGCTTTGATATCAGGGTAATACTAGCCTCATAGAATGGAGTTTGGAAGTGCTCCCTCCTCCTCTATTTTTTGGAATACTTTGAGTAGGATTAGTAATACTTCTTTAAATTTTTGGTAGAATTCAGCAGTGAAGCCATTAGGTCTCAGGTTTTTCTTTACTGAGAGACTTTTTATTATGGCTTCCATTTTGTTTTATTGTTGTTGTTGCTGCTGTTGTTTTATGTTATTTGTTTTTAGAGACAGGGTTTTGCCATGTTGGCCAGGCTGGTCTTGAACTCCTGAGCTCAGGCGATCCACCCATTTCAGCCTCCCAAAGTGCTGGAATTACAAGCATGAGCCATCATGCCCGGCCTATGGCTTCCATTTTGTTACTTGTTATTGGCCTGTTCAGGATTTGGATTTCTTCCTGGTTCAATCTTGGTTGGTTGTGTGTGTCTAGGCATTTGTCGGTTTCTCCTAGTTTCCAATTTATTGGCATATAGTTGCTCATAGTAGCCACTAATCCTTTGAGTTTCCATGGTATCAGTTATAATATCTCCTTTTTCATATCTGATTTTATTTATTTGAATCTTTCCTTTTTTCTTCTTTACCAGTTAGGCTAAGGTTTGTCAATATTGTTTAACTTTTCAAAAAAATATTTTTGTTTCATTCTTCTTTTCTATTGTTTTCTTCATTTCAATTTCATTTATTTCTGCCCTAATCTTTATTATTTCTTGTCTTCCACTAATGGGTTTGGTTTGCTCCTGTTTTTCTAGGTCTTTAAGACGCATCACTAGCTTGTTTATTCAAAATTTTTCTTCCTTTTTGATATAGACACTTACAACTATAATCTTTTCTGTTAGTACTGCTTTTGCTGTATCCCATATATTTTGGTATGTTGTGTTTCCATTATCATTTGTTTCAAGAATTTTTTTTTAATTTCTTCATTTACTTATTCAGGAACATGTTGTTTAATTTCCATGTATTTGTATAGTTTCCAAAATTCCTCTTGTCACTGATTTCTATTTTTATTTCATTGGGGTTAGAGAAGATGTTTTGTATTATTTCCATTTTTTGAATGTTTAAGACTTGTTTTGCGACCTAATAAATGGTCTGTCCTTGAGAATGATCCATGTGCTGAGGAAAAGAATGTGTATTCTGTAGCCATTAGATGAAATATTCTGCAAATATCTATTAGGTCCATTTGGTGTACAGTGCAGATAAGTGTAATTTTTTGTTGTTGATTTTCTATCTGGAAGATCTGTCCATTGCTGAAAGTGGGGTGTTGAAGTCTCCACCTGATATTGCATTGGGGCCTATCTTTCTCTTTAGCTTTAATAATATTTGTTTTACATATCTGGGTATTCTACTGGTGGGTGCATATATATTTAAATTGTTATAGCCTCTTGCTGAATTGACCCTCTATCATTATATAATGATCTTCTCTGTCTCTTCTTTTTTTTTTTTTTTTGAGACGGAGTTTCACTCTTGTTACCCAGGCTGGACTGCAATGGCGCGGTCTTGGCTCACCGCAACCTCCGCCTCCTGGGTTCAGGCAATTCTCCTGCCTCAGCCTCCTGAGTAGCTGGGATTACAGGCATGCGCCACCATGCCCAGCTGATTTTTTGTATTTTTAGTAGAGACGGGGTTTCACCATGTTGACCAGGATGGTCTTGATCTCTTGACCTCGTGATCCACCCACCAAAGTACTGGGATTACAGGCGTGAGCCACCGCGCCCGGCCTTCTCTGTCTCTTCTTATAGTTTTTGTCTTGAAATCTATTTTGTCTTAAGTATAGCTACTCCTGCTCTTTTTTTGTTTTCTATTGGAATGGAATATCTTTTTTCCATCTATTTTGTTTTAGTATACGTGTGTCTTCATAAGTGAAGCACAGGGGGACGATCCAAGATGGCCGTTTAGGAACAGCTCAGGATTGCAGCTCCCACTGAAAGCACAGAGGGTGAGTGGACGCCGCGTTTTTATTGCCCACAGACTAGGAAATTCCCGGGCGGAGGTGCTCCACGGTCGCCAGCGTGGCTGTTTCGGCCAGCGCCGCTGCTTTGCCCCGCGCGGCTGCTTTGTCGGCGCCCCGGAGCCGCGGTTCTCCGTACAAAATACACCGGTCCGGGGGCCCTTTTGGCTGGCGATTAGAGCCACGGGAAGTCGCCCATATGCCGGTTCAAAAAGGGGACTGAGCAGAGAACCAGGACAGTAGATTCCAGGGCAAAAAAAAAAAAAAAAAATGTGCCACAAACCTCAGTGGCGCTGGTTAAGCCAGCGCAGTGAGTGGCTGCAGGGGAAAACAAACAGACCCCGGCACCTCTTCAACAGGCGACTGGAACACAAACTTAAAAAAGGCTCTGAGGCAGGGAGCCAGGTGATCAGGCTCGGCTGGCCCCACCCCCACAAAAGAACAGCAACCAAAAAGACACCTCATAAAAGAGAGATCAGATTGACACTAGGCGGGTATCCTTCTGGGACAAAGATAGCAGAAGAAGAAAACTGGTAACAACCCTTGCTGTTCAGCAGCTGCTGCAGGTGAACCCCAGGCAAGCAGGGCCTGGAGTGAACCTCAGCAGACCTACAGCAGAGGGGCCAGACTGTCAGAAGGAAAACCAAGAAACAGAAATAACCTCATCATCAACAAACAGAACGTCAATCTGAAAGATTTGAGACCCAATCTGAAAGCCAGCAACTACAAAGTCAACAGGTGGATAAATCCTTAAAGATGGGAAGAAACCAGCGCAAAAAGGATGAAAACACCCGAAACCAGAACACCTCTCCTCCTAAAAGGGATCACAACTCCTCACCAGCAAGGGAACAAGGTTGGATGAAGAACAAGTGTGATGAAATGACAGAATCAGACTTCAGAAGGTGGGTAGTAAGAAACTTCTGTGAAAACTTAAAGAACATGTTCTAACCAAATGCAAAGAAACTAAGAACCTTGAAAAAAGATTTGACGAAATGCTAACAAGAATGAACAAAATAGAAAGGAATATAAGTGAATTGATGGAGCTGAAAAACGCAACACGAGAACTTCGTGAAGCATGCACAAGTATCAACAGCCGAATTGACCAAGCAGAAGAAAGGATATCAGAGGTCGAAGATCAACTCAATGAAATAAAATGGGAAGGCAAGACTGGAGAAAAAAGGGTAAAAAGGAATGAACAAAGTCTCCAAGAAATGTGGGACTATGTGAAAAGACCTAATCTACGTTTGATAGGCGTACCCGAATGCGACGAAGAGAATGAATCCAAGCTGGAAAATACTCT